TCAAAATCTTAACTTGATAATTAATCTAATGGTCGTTAGTTAAAACATTTGTTGAAAAGAAGAACTGATTCAAAGCAAGGGATAAATTTTTTTTTATTTTCTCAACCTCACTCTTTACTATACAATCGATTATAACTTGCTGTTTAAGGCTAAACTTGTCATTTGTTTCAAGATAATTTCTAATTCAGTTAATAGCTGTAATTTACGATTTTGGTAGGTCATAAATTCTTAAAGAGCAAAGAGCTACTCCGGTAAATTTGCTCCCCATTGATTCAACACTTGACCATGAATTAGTGGCTGTGTCGTAACACTCCACCTTAGCGAGTCTTTGTTTTTTATTCCAATTATAACCACCAGCGATGTATATCTTGTTGTTAATGGCAACGCAACCAGATTCCGATCTTGGTCTCGGTACAAGACTTTCAGTAAAAGCAACCCAAGTATCCGTCAAGGGTGTATAACGTTCAATAGCTTCCACACAAATTACAGCATCATGTTCGTCGATGGTAGCACCCCCGATTAAGTATAGATGACCGCCTATTGGATTCAGATGCCCGTAGAATCGTGGTGTATTTATGGACTTCCTGATCTCCCATTTGTTGGTAGAAGGACAATATCGCTCGACACGACTCGATATAATTTGTGTTTCTGCAACATATAATAATGATAGGTTTAAATGTAATAACGCTCTTGTATACAGACAACTATAATTGACAATTTTGATATCACAGGAACCGACAATGACATTGGTAATAAAATGAATTCCGGTCTCCATCATTCTCAAGAGGTTTGCGCCTACTCATTATGTCACATTAACATGAGTCACATAAAGAGATGGGAAAAGAAATATTCACAAGATTATTATCTACTTTTTTTATGAATGAAAAAGAGGTAATAGACATATTTCGAAATATAACATAATATAAGCTTTTAAGATATAATCTTGTCGGATTTAAAGAGGCAACAATTTCAAGCCGACAATAAATGTAATTAATTTTATAAAATACTAGCGGCAGATCCGGCGTTGCAAGTGTGGGACCCTGTTCCAGAAGTAAAATAACTCCGCAAGTGGTAGTGTAACCCGGTTGGAGCTGTCATTATACCCCAAACTATAATGCAACCACCAACCCCAAACAAACAGAAAACGACAACCACAAATATAGTATAGATATTCAAATCAACAAGTGTTCCGGAAAGATTAAGTCTACAATGACAACCACAATTCTGCCACCCACTCCCACCCCCAAAACCCGCGCGCCCACCACTTTACACATATCACCATAGAAATAAAGTTTTTACATTCAATCTCAACTACTCGAAGGGTGTCTCTTTCCCGTTCCAAATTTCTAATCCATCATAACATAGATGTACAACAATCTGAAGTGTAATTAAATGAAATCAAATGGGGTTTAACGTCCTACTGTTCTGCTCCAAACTGAGCTATTGTGCTATGAGGGAAATTTTGCCCGGACAGCGTCACTATGGCCTACTCTTCTATCGAATTCCAACTGTCAAGGGATCATTTACGTGTACGCCAATGTGTACACGGGACCTCGGTTTTTCGTCCCAACCGAACGATTAGACAATTGTCCCTGTCAGGCCCCCCGTTCTGCATCACTGACAAGGGGGGCCACGCCGGAAAATCTGGATGAACTTTCTTGGCGAAATCTGGATGAACTTTCTTGGCCAATGCAGGGATCGAATACCCGACCTCAAGGCTAGCGAGCCAGCGTCTTAGCCACTTAGCCACCGTGACAACCCCTCTGTCCCCACCCGAAGTGTCATCAAAGGTTTTATAAAATGTTGTACAATCATTTCTATTTTGTTCTGTTGGGTATTCGTTTAAATAAAAAATGCTTACCTGCTCCACCCACGGCATATAATTTTCCAGCAAGTGTTGCTACAGCTACACTACGTTTCGGAGATGATAATGGCAGTATATATTTCCATTCATCTTTACTTGGATCGTACCTTTCGACTGATGATAGGGACTTATTTTCACCTGTTCTTCCACCTGAAATAAAACATTTGATTTTATTTTTTAGATCCTTTCATTGATTGAACTTTTTGAAGATACTATTGTGATAGGTTAATAATTATATAATTTAACAGCGTGGAGGTCACCTTCATGTTTGGAATATTAATATTAACAAGACAACGTCTATTGATCTTGAACTGATTTCGACAATCTTACTCATTCACTTTGATTTACGAAATCTTATTAACATTTTAGGTGTCACGAATATCTCTTTAATATTTTTAAAATATCTTATTCGGTTTGTGTAAAGAAGGAAACGGTGTATGTACGTTGTTAATTTGTATTATTTTAATTTTGTATTCAGTTTGTGTACAGAAAGAACCGGGGACGGGCTATGTACAGTGTTAATCTTTAAAGAAGCATTATGTAAGATTTAGATAACGAGCTGGCCGTCCCTCTATAATAGTTCAAATATAGATAATGAAAAAGTCATTATTGAAAATTTCAGTAAAATTATCTTATTCTGAGCGAAGTTGTCATTCTTTAAAAGTGTTCACAATATAGTCTCGATTATCAAATACAAATGAAATGAAATGAAATGGGGTTTAACGTCCTACTGTTCTGCTCCTATACTGGGCTAATGAAGACGGGCATACGCCATACAGTGTGCTATGAGGGAAATTTTGCCCGGACAGCGGCACTATCGCCTACTCTTATATCGAATTCCAACTGCCAAGGGATCTTTTACGTGCATTCCAATGTATACACGGGACCTCGGTTTTTCGTCTCATCCGAAAGACTAGACAGCTGTCCTTGTCAGGCCCTCCGTTCTGCACCACCACTGACAAGGGGAAACCACGTCGGAAAAACCAGATGAACTTTCTCTGGATTATCAAATACACGTACCATTGTTTTCATAATAAAAAATGTCTCGATTATCCATTTTTAAATTCAATTATTAAAGAGAGATCGTTTTTCAGTCCATTTCAAAAGGGCTTGTCATGTGAATAAATGTCTAATTAATAATTCATGATATAACATTTGAGGCTAAAAGAAAGGTCTGCAATAAACAGATTTAGCTCTAACATAATGTATCTTTAACATATAAGTGTGGTATTCAGTTTGGATAAAGAAATAAAATGTACAACCATAACTCCTGTGATAATGAAAGGAGCTAAGTCTTTAACTCAATATCATCCACAGTCTTCGACATTGAAACCACGAATTATTTGTCAATTTAAACCAACACTGATGTTGTGATCTTACCGGGAAAAGGTGGGCTTCTGATATCCAATATTAAGACAAAAAACAGTTTACCATTGGTACACGAATCGTGTACCAGAATGCGTTTCAGCGACATTCGTAACAAGGGACTCGAAGAAAGAGGTAAGACATATTCCACAAGTCTTGTCTGCAGGGCATGCGCAATAAATACTTCTGGTGTAGACTTGAATAACCAGACGCTAAAGATTGCCATTCGATTGAAGCGCCTCGCGTATTTCGCCGAACATAACTGATTTGAAATTAGAGTAAAAACGGAAACGATTGAATGTAAATCAGTTTATATACATTCATATTACATTATGATATGCGTTGCAACCCATAATTTGTGTCAATTTCTTGATCCCAAATATTAGCGATTTAGCTCCTTTAAACCTTGGGGGTTGGATGGCTGAATGGTTAGCGTGCGCGCGCTGTATCATAAAGTCTGTCATTGAGTCGACTGGCGTGGTTTCGAATCCGCGGTTGTACGTGGCAAGGAGTAGGGTCGCCTGTCCAACCTCGTGGGTTTTCTCCGGGTCCTCCGGTTTCCTCCCACTGCTAAAGACCCCTACGCGCAAGCGAATTATGTAAATAAAATTAAACCATATGTTAGTCCCGAAATGACCTAGTTTGTGTCGAGTGGACGTTAAACCCCATTTCTCTCTCTCTCCCCTTTAAACCTTTCAGTACTTAAAAATATTTTTGTTTTCTTTGCATTTAGATAGAGTAAGAATATTCTGCTATCATTGTGGGTGTGCGTTTAGTTACCAAACAACACAACACACAACACTCCAATCCAACAGGGCAGTGTATCCCCGGCCTGTGTCCGGCCTTGTATGCAACCGATTTAATATCACATTAGAAATATATAGAGGAATTTATTTTTGCTATTAATTTGATAATATCAAGCAGTTACCTACTGCATACAACATGTTGTTTAAGACTGTCATCTGAAAACTTTCCCTTCTATCTTTCATATTAGCAATCTGCATCCAACTGTCATGTCTGGGATCATAGCGGAGTGCTGCATTAGATGGGAAACCATGATGATTTGTTGTTTCTCCTCCAACAACATACAGAAATCCATTCAGAACAACAACTTAAAATGAAAATGTAAATGTAAAGCAAAATTGAAGTGATTTACTGTTATAATTGAAATTAAAATTGTGTTTGGGTATCATCAAAGTTTACAGGTTGGTGTATATCCTATGTTGAAATCCCTTAACATTTGGCATAGTTTCTTTGAAGTTGGTGACTTGGTGTTCAGATCACATGATCTTACTGACCAATCAAATTGTCAGCATTCGTATGCGTATTGTGATTTTAAAACCCCAGAGTAAATGATAGTGACCTGCAGGTTATTCACGCTTTTGCAAAAAAAGTTGTCAGAGATAAATATAATTCTAACTCGGTATTAACAGAATGTTGGTTAAATAAAATGTAGTGTTAGTTCAGAAATAAATAAAATAATCGAAATCGCATTCTAATTAAAATTATGTTGGATTTTGATCAGCTTAATATTTGATCAATAATTATTTATACAGGATAATCAAGCAATTAGATGTAAACAGTTTATATTTAATTACCAGCATGGTGGTGTCGTGGTTCTGGTAAACATGCAGTGAGCTCCCATTTACTGCCCGGTTTATTAACATCTAGTACCATGATATCACAGCTTACACGATCTGTTTTCAACCTCGGTGCACCTCCTACAGCCACCAAACAGTTATCTCTATACGGAATCCTGGGTTCTGTTAGTTCAGTCTGAAAAATTACAAATTCAAAAGTAACAGTTTTCAGATATGATTGCGAGTTTCTTATCTTATCACAACTGATTGACTTTGTAATTTATCGTATAATTCATCTTAATCGAATGTATAAAAGGGGAATTAAGGGTATAGTTTCAACAATAACTACAATAACAATTGATGATTTTATTATATCAGCTTATAAAAAAACAAATAAGAATCGTTCCAGACAAATATGCATGGATTGCCTCTTGCACATCACCAGTCTTAACTAAATGTAGCGTTTGTTTTGACTCAAATTTCAGAACCATCTTGTAGATGTTATTGCCCTAACTGCTTTGCGAACACAGACGACCAATGTTCAGAGCGGTCGGCCGACCTCTTGAATTATAAGTTTTATCTCACCTGAAGTAACGACTGGCGACAGGGCATGCAATGGTAATGTAAAGCTTCTTTCACCAATTTTTGACAGTCAGGAATGTCTTTGAGACATCCCACATTCTCCACTTTATCAATTATCTCTGAAGGCGACAAAAGGGGTAAACGGACTGCACCAAGAAGTTCTGAAGCGTATTCAATTCTTCTCTGTTTGTCAACCTCAACCCAGCTGAGAACACGGTCAAATACCGTATATTCGTTTTTAACTACCAGATCATTCCGCTTCAACAAGGACAAAAGTTGTTCTACTGGCGCGTAGCGAAATTCCATTTTCTTAGTAGCAGTTTGAAAATTCTTAGCTGCCATTTCAAGGGTTTGACTGGAGAGTAACTCAAGATCATAAGTACAAGCTGTATCCATGTACAAAAAACAGTTATCAATAGTAAGATGCTCAACAAGATACTGCTCACATGCTTCGTGGATACCAAGGAATCCTAGAACAGTGGCAGCTGAAAGAACGTCTTTAATTGTATTATGTGTCAGTGATATCCGACCAGTATACATACATTCTAAAATAGACATCATGGCGCTGGACTTGATATCCTGTAGCTCTAACTGGTTGCAACCAGGTTTGTCTTTGCCATCACTAAACTTCTCAAAGAAATAATCAGAGCATGATGCTAGAACGAGTTTGTGGGCAAGGAGACTTTTTCCTTCTACAACCAAAACAACGTCACACATTAATTTCTGTCGCCATAAAGCATCGATTCCACCCATTAGGGAATCAGAAAAATTAAATATACTTTTTGAACTTTTAGGTTCCAGTCCACCACCATGTTGTTCTCGCTTCCTGGTAAGAATACTGCGGTAGCTACCGGCATTTCTACTGCAAAATCCATCAGGCTTCTTCGGCATTTTAACCTTGCGTCTTTCTGCATTACGATCCCACGAACATGTAAGATTTCTGGACAATTGAATTCGTGTGACGTTTTAACAATGACTAATTTTAAAACTGTTGCGTCATTCATTACGATATAAGGACTTTCTGAACAAACTCAATGTTTTCATTACTAAAACATTTGATCAAGTTATATGATATGGGGCTCTTTTTAGTAACAAAAAGGTGAAATAAAGAGGATTTTTGTAAAATAAAGTCATAGAAGTCATGTCTACATACAAAACCAAAGAGAACCGACCACATACAATTTTATCAAATAAAACGTTCATTTTATATTCTATCCGATCAATAAATAAGAATAGAATTTTCATGAGAGAGAGAGAGAGAGAGAGAGAGAGAATTGGGTCATTTCGGGACTAACGTATGGTTCAATTCTATTTCAATAATAATTAATAAGTGGGTGTGGGGGTGGGGTGGGGGGGGGGGAATTCCACGAGGTTGAACAGGCGAGCCAACTCCTTGTCATATAGTAAGGAATCGGAACCACGCCACTTGACTCAATAACAGACCTTATGATCTTAAGCACATGCGTTAAACTATTCGTCCACCCAAATTTTATAAAACATGTACATTCAATTATGCAAGAGGACATCATCAGAAGGGCAGGAGTAAGGATGTCCCTGAATGTGTCATGTATGCTGGTACACTGAATGTCTTAAGCCATTTTCCGTACCCACTTGAAGTACATTTATAACAAACTTAAGAACAAATTGACTAATTATGTGTCGCAAAACAAAAATAAATGAAATGAAATGGGGCTTAGCTTCCTACTGTATTCTGCTCCGACTGGGCTAATAAAAACGGACAGGCGCCATGCAGTGTGCTGTGACGGAAATTTTGTCCACAGACTACTTTTATATTCTTTGAATGGCATTTAGTAATTGGGACATTATTAAATAACACACTATTAACGGATAACAAAACGTGTGTGTTATTTGGCTTACTCTTATATCGACTTCCAACGGTTCTTTTACGTGCACGCCAATGTGTCCACGTGACCTCGGTTTTTTGTCCCATCCGAAAGACTATACATTGTCGCTTGCCAAGCCCTCCGTTCTACACCACAGACAAGAAGTGGGGGGCAGAAATAAAGTACGTACTGTGTACTCCCCGGCAAAAGTTGAAAATCTGTATCTCTGTGGATGGGCCAACCTAACAACATCAGATTTATAACGGTCGGCATTTAGAAATTTCACCGGTGAGAAGGGTTATGGGAGGACGGGATTTCATTTTTTTTTTTTTTCCTGGCCTATTTCAAAACAAAAGCTAGTTAGAACCTGATTTTGTTAAATAGAACTGAAAACATCACATCCATTTTATTTAAAAATTTCATCGGCGAGAAGGGTTAATTATGGGATTTCATTTTTTTTTTTTTTTTTTTTTAACCATTATAGCCTATTTTAATACACGAGGGGGTTAGAATGTCTCTGGCAGAGGAGTGGGAATTTATACAAATCTCCTTTTTATTCACGGATGTTAAAAATATAGGTCTTAACCATAGATTTATACCATAAACTTCTATTTATAACTCTATGGTCTTAACCAAATTAATCGTAACGCAGTAATTACTATTATAATAATTATCCTTATTTAAAAATTTATTTAATGGGAGGTAACTCCAAATATAACGATTGTCTTTCTTGGAAAAAACTTTACAAATGAAGTTTAATAAAGTCCTCCATCATGGCGACCATGTGTCGAAGTTTTTTGATTTCTTGCCGAAAAAAGTTACTTTACAAGGTATTAGATATGTTTATAATGGAAACAGTATGATACAACTTAACTACTTATTAGAGCGTACATCGGGCTTGGTTTTTTTTCTGTATTACACAATGAGGTGCCAAAGATTTTTCATCTGAAGATTCATATTTGCCATCAGTCACGTACGTCGTGATTTATAAAGTGATGTAATTGAGGTGTCCTTGGCATCTAATGCAGACTTATATAAATGTCGAAGTATCATGATAAATTTATTAGAATTGATATGATCAACACAGACAAATTTACTAATAATATTTGCCTGACATAGGCCCTATATCATAAACCATAATTACAGGCCTTCGCTTAAAAGGAGGGCAGTCACTCTCGCTCTCCTGGCAGCACCTGGATGTCTAATAGTTTAACTTGACACCCGTCAAAGAAAATAATCAGGAATAATATACTGGTAGCAAAAAATATTGTCAATCTCGACAATCAACTTGCCTGTCGGCGACAATAAAAGTCATACCTTAGTCTTAGTGAGAATCAGCGATCTGCTTCATAATCCAAGTACTTAGCACATTTAATGATAATTTTGATAAATCGGTAAAAGAAAAAAAAAACCTGTTATTCATAACAGGTCCAGCAAGTTTCCTTTGTGAAAATAACTAAGTAAGCCACATGGCGAATGAAGACATCTCGGCATGGACTGTGAATCTCGGGATTCCAGGTAGATATTAAAATAATAATTGGATCATACATTTGATGTTTGACTGACCATTTGTTAGTTAAATTTAAATAGCCATTAAATAATCCTCTGATAGAACACGGAATATCCCGAGAAACAGTTATTAATGATATATTTTTCCGTCAAGATCTCCAATGCTTGCTGATTCCCGATGTCACGCGATGCATTGGCTGGTATTAGGTCAATAAACCAGCATTTCACGATTTAGTTATAAAAGGTGTTTACCTTGATGCTTTTTTATTTTAAACACATGCTGACGAAATTATTTTTGAAAATAATGTCATTAATTAAGGCTATGGCAATTTCAATTATCATCCATGAATGAATAAAAACTTTGCAAGTTACGTATCAGTTTATCTATCAAGTAAATGAAGACAGTAATTCATTCATGAATATTACTGACTTGAACTTCAAACCAGCCGGTATTTGAATTAAATATGGAAAATTTTCAGAAAGGAATTATTTTTGTTGAAATCTGGTTATTATATAAAAGTTAATGGGAGCTTATAGGTCTAATTACACTATTTCCTATACCAGGACCTCATTTGATCCAATTCGACCCAATTCTGGCAGTTGGTTTCAAAATGGATTAAGATCCCTGTTCTAATCACTAATGCAAAAAAAAATTTCCTCAAAGGATTCAGTCAAAAGTGTAATTATTTAAGTTTGTTATACGACTTAAAGTCGAGTTTGTGGATTACCATATATGGTACAGCTGATATTTTATATGTTTTATGTATGGACAAATTTTAGAAAATGGTGGAGGTTGTTCTTTTCAAAAAGTGACACTGTAACCTCATTAATATACTTTAATTACAGGCTATAAATACAAGAGTAACCAGTTATGCAGTTAGTCAATATCAAATTAGTAATTTATCAACACATTATAGTCATAATAAAATCAAATCACACAGTTGGCTTTCATCGCCCTGTATTCATGATGTCATTTCCTCACCAGTATTAATCCAATACTCATATCATCAGGTAAGCATTAATTATTAGTCTCTTACCGGGTGAAATAAGAGGGAGGGACTAACTTGTCTGTCCATCATTTTTGTTTTCACCTTTGAGATATTTGATTGAAATTTGATAACTGCTATTGATTAGCTGAGTTACAATTATACAGATCAAGTTCGAGCTTCAAGGGGTTTTGTTAAGTTTTTCCTTAATTATGGCCCTTTGTTTTCCAAATATCTTTTGTTTTGAAGTTTTGATTTATTTGAGTTGCTACATAGTTTTACAGAATTTATTTCATCTGTTCATGTTTGGATTAAATATGCACAGAAATGTATTCACAGTAGGCTATTAGTCTCATAAATACATGCATTGCAAAATGTGTAAGGACCAGTAGAGGACATGTACATGTATTGTGTTAATAATAATAATCGTCTTATATAGCGCTGGAATTCCAACCAAAAGAGGCTGGTCATGGGCAAATTACAGTGTCTTTAAAGTCACTGTTTACTGTCAAAAATGCTTATTTTTATACCATCCCGAAGTGTTTGTGTACTTTTTGTTAATCATTGGAATTTGCAAGCTTCTTGAAACCTAGGGGAAAATGTATTTAAGATTTGTACAATTTTAATCATAGAAAATCTTATTTGATAATAAGAGGCTGAATTAATTCAAATGGCATTAGTTTTGATCGTCTTCATATGAACCCAGAATAATTATTAGGGCTTAATTGATTTCTTGCAAGTAATCATAAAATTGTGCTTTAATTCATTAAGCAATGAAAATGACAGTCTATCCTGTACCAAAAATTAAATTTGAAAATCAAAATTTTTTGTCTTAAATTGAATGTGGTTTTTTTTTTCAGCCTGTCAGGTTTATGTCTAGTGATGGTAAAAAGAGGGGATTCTTTCAAGATTTAATAACAAATATCAAAGATGAGTTGGCAAGAAACAAAGAAATGAAGGTATAGTTGTAACTAGATCATATTGTATAAAATACCATTTCACAACAAATGCTGTTCAGTTTGAAATGTATTGGTCACTGAAACTTTTATTATGAAAGTGTATAAAATGATGTAACATTGCCACCAAAAGCATTCCATATGGTTCCCAGTGTTTTACATGTTGCAGCCATAATTATAAAAGTGTATGAAATGCTGCAATATGGACACTGTTTTTGGAGTTTTAAAACAAAAAGCATTCCATATAGTGTCTAGTGTTGTGCATGTTGCAGCCGTCGTGACACTATGATACCACCTGCATGGCTTTGGGTCTACAATCCTAATACACCTCTTTTTATGGCACAACATTTTCCGTTAAGTACTATAGGAAAATACCATCAAAAATCTGAAAGTTTTTGGGGGCACTTGAAACGCCTAAGTCAAAAAGCCCAAACATCAGAATATATATCTAAACATTACACCAATGTAATCCATCAGCTTTTAGTGAAACATAAATTTATTACAAAGGTGGTTAAGTAACAAATGTTGGCCTATTGTTTACAAAACAATATTTGAGTAATATATAGGATTATAGATAAGGAAACTATCCTTGTATTACTTTATGGTTTGTAATAATTGTTTAGGTTGATATTGCTGTGGAAATTGAACTGTTCAAAATTAAAAGAAAAACTAGGAGGTGCCATCTATGCTTTAATAGGCATATCATCATAAATTCAAACAGTCAAATTTGGACTAGATTTTCAGGGATAGGCCTACCATTAGCTCATTCTTGTTTTGCATGAATAATCAATATATTTCTGTTATAATTAACTCTACAAAATAGCATTTATAATTTTGTGTATTTTTTCTTCAGGAGAGTTTGAGTAAGTTCAAACAAGAAACATCAAAATTAGAACAATCAGAAGCTATCCAAAAGGCTAGACAGAAATTTGTAAGTATTTTTAGATCTTTTACATATTCTATGTTACATGTGTCTAGTGTAAAGGGTAGATAGTGTTGTTAAATCATTATCACCATACAAAAGAAAGTAATCAATGGTGATAACATAGCAATGGTAGTTCTTATTTGATAGCAATGAGATACTTCTAATTTGTTTAGTTTTAAGCGGAAATTCATAATACATTTATTATATTGAAATTAATTTCCTGTTATTTGAAAAGTTATTTTATTTATCTGCTGTTCAGTGTATTCTGATACTATATTTAATAATGCTTTTTCTATCGACTTTTAGGATTCCATAGAGGCTGAAACTAAGAAAGGTTCAACGGTTATAAAAAAAACTCTCGAAGATATTAAAGGAAAATTTTCAGAGGTAGGTTTGTTTTTAGGCTGGAGAGTAAACATGTTGAATATGTACCTATAATATTGTGGTGATTTTAAATCTAGTAATTTCTATTTGACTGCCTGGTCATTCAATAAATTCTTAAAAGTCTAGAATGTGTTTTAAGTACAGTGGACTCTGTCACATCCGATGTCCGATCACTCCGGATTGCTGTGACATCCGACATGATTTTCATGTCCCGATTTATTTCCTTATTACTTCAGCCAAAAAATCGCTGGTAAATCCGGATTCTGTATGTTCCGGATTACGACATCAATCAGCCGTTCCGTCACATAATTTCCATTGAATCGACACCGTATAATCCATACTTCAAACGGTGGGTGTGAAGCATCCAATTATCGGTGAGATTAAAACTCAATGGGTGTGAAGCCAGAAAAGATTAACAAGCAATCACCAATCAATTATCGGTGAGATTAAAACTCGCAAGCGCCGGTCTGTGTTGATTACTTTGATAATGTTTTTAAATTCTTTGTTGATTATTTTACAGTTTATAATCTCTTGTAAGAGTGCACTTGGTATTTGATTTTAGTTACTCATGTCAAATACCGCGACATTATATAAAAATTGTCGCGATTGAAGAATCATTATACATTATTGTATTCAAAATGTCTGAACGTCCTGCAAAGCGTGCCCGAACAGATTTGACATTAGATGTAAAGCGGCAACTTATAGCAGAAGGAATTAGCCGTTAAGTATTCAATTGGCCGAGCTACAGTGTCAGACATATTAATGCGTAAAGATGAATTTAAACAGAAGTTTGTTAATTATTTAATGTAATAAAATTTTGAAAGTACAGAAAGGTTTATCATTTTTAAAGGGAATAGCATTCTGGTGATTCGAAGCTACAATATAAAAATACTTCCGATTTTCGAAGTTACAGTATTTCCGGTTTTGGAAAAAGCTTGGTATTCCGACACGCTGTGTGATCCGAAATATTGTAACGATCCCGTACGATGTTGGATGTGACAGAGTCCACTGTATGTACAATTTACTGTACAGACATCATTATATTAATCTAATGAATGGATATCTCATTGTTTACTACTGATATTTGTTAGTATCATCTAATTATAGTTAAGAATAATTTAAGATTAGTGCCAGTCATCAACTTGCTCATATTAAAGGAGATGGTACATCTATTTCTAATAGATCACATGCCAGATTAAATAAAAGAAACCCAGAACTGACAGGGGTAGAAACACAATTAACAGTTAACATTGCTACACAGAATTAACAAATTTTACAGATTTACTAAAAAAACTTTTAACCATGAGGATGCCATATTTAAAGATTTGGTAGTATTGACAACAGTTAATCGAGTAAGGGTGGAGCTTAAAGAGGTGCGGGAGCCACGGTGGCTAGGTGGTTAAGACGCTGGATCGCTAGCCTGGAGGTCGGGTGTTCGATTGGCCGACAAAGTTCATCTGGATTTTCCGAAGTGGTTTCCCCCTGTCAGTGATGTAGAACGTAGGGCTTGACAAGGACAGCTGTCTAGTCCTTCGGATGATACGGAAAACCGAGGTCCTGTGTATACATTGGAATGCACGTAAAAGATCCCTTGGCAGTTGGAATTCGATATAAGTGTAGGCGATAGTGCCGCTGCCCGGGCAAAATTTCCCTCATAGCACACTGTATGGTGTATGCTTGTCTTCATTAGCCCAGTATAGGAGCAGAACAGTAGGACGTTAAACCCCATTTCATTTCATTTAAAGAGGTGCATCTAAATTTTTTCCTAAACCTTGATATAAGTAGGTAGCTGTTACCATTATTACTGGATTGATAAAGTCAGTATTATAGAAATTTTATTATTTTAAAGTTGTTTTTTTTACCCTTCCCGTAAGCTAGTAATCATGTATTAAAACTTGTTTCTTTTTTCATAGACAATGGAAGAGGTTCAAAAAACAGAATTTATTAAAAAAGGCAGAGATATAACTGATGAATTGGGTAAAACTGCTGGTAAAGCTGCTGATAGTATTTCTAAAAAAGGTCAGGATATAGGGCAGAGTTCAACATTTCAAAGTATTTCTCAGGTTAGTATTGCATAATATCATATTGTTGTCTTGGTGACAGGATGATAAGTGTTATATATTGAATTTACCAATATGTGTGTACCGTTATTGTTATTAAGCAATTTTGGAGAAGTGAACGTGGTTATTTGAATTATTCTCCCGGATTTGGATTAGACACATATTTTTGTTACCTGCATTTATTTGTCTGTCTATATATCTTAGTTCATGTTGGATATTTGTTGAAATCTGCAGGGATTGGTTTCATAAGGAAAGACCCTATCAAAATTCAGATTGCAAGGATTGAGTGTAGAGAAGGACTCTTATCAAAATTCAAATCGCAAGGATTGAGTTTAAGGAAATTCAAAATGCAGGGACTTAGATTAAGAAAGGACCCTATCAAAACTGAAATTGCAGAGTTACCTTTCTGTTTACTTTCAAACTTATGAAAGATTTTGAACGCATTATACATCTATATGCATTTTAATAACTTGGTAACAAATGGGTTATTTTTAGGGTGTAAAAGCAGTAAAAGAAGAATTTGATGAAGTGACATTAGCTCGAGCTAAAACATATAAAGCACCAGGTATTGTCAGCCACCATGGTTTCTATCTTTTATCTGTTAACAGGGGGGATTTACACATTATCTATAATTTTAAATCACCAAAATCGATCAGCAATGATTTCAGAGCACCATATAGAATAAAATTACCTTCATGATATTAGTTTCATGATAACCATTTAATTTTCACTAAAATATCAAATTTCTCACGGCTTAATAGACACTAAATGTGTATTCAGATTTAACGTTTAATTAAGAAAATAAAGTCAAAATACCAACGCTAGATAATTTCCTGGCTTGGGTTCAATCAGATTTAAACTAGAACCATCAGGTTTCTCTGCTACCAATGAAAGATGGCCGGGTCTTGTTATGCTCGAGCAGCATAGATAGATGAAATTTCAATTCCACATATCTCTGTAAATACTGAACGAGATTGTGACTGATATTTCTATTAGAGATTCATCTTTCACAATAATGTAGTTTGCAGGTGATTTCTATTGCTTAAAATGTCACATTGGGACATTAATTTATTTGTTCAATTTTTTTCCCATATTAGAATATATATCAAGTCTAGCACATTACAGTAATTGTCAGGGTTTGAAATTAATTTTATTCTTATTTTTTAGTAAAATTACGGAAACGTACAGATAGATCTGGCTATTCTAAAGATGACAAGCAGTTTGAAGCAGATGAGTATGTATATGTAGACTTAATTTTTGTAACATGATTATTATATAAAATAAATTTTTATCACTCATTGTAAATTTATTTAGACAAGCGAATGCCCAACTATGCAGTACACTTGATCAACTAATAAGATATTCATTTATTAATTTTTCTTTCAGTGAATCAACAGGGATGGTTTTACATAAAGATTCAAAATTTTATCAAAGTTGGCAAAATTTCAAAGACAATAATCAATATGTAAATAGTAAGTAAATTAATGTTTACTTTTATGGTGTCTGTGTGTAGGCAACTATATAGTTAAATATACAGGGATGGTTTTACATAAAGATTCAAAATTTTATCAAAGTTGGCAAAATTTCAAAGACAATAATCAATATGTAAATAGTAAGTAAATTAATGTTTACTTTTATGGTGTCTGTGTGTAGGCAACTATATAGTTAAATATACAAATGTCATCTTCTGTGTCAATCAAAAAAAAAATGTGTTTTATGTGTTTGTTTTTGTATTCTGGGTTTCTTTTTGGTTTTATACATCGTGTGGTTCTCCTGCACTTAATATTATATTTCTAGAAAATACAAATTTCACTGTTTATATTTCTAGAAAATACAAATTTTACTGTTTATATTTTTAGAAAATACAAATTTTACTGTTTATATTTTTAGAAAATACAAATTTCATTATTTACATTTCTAGAAAAAACAAATTTCACTATTTATATTTCTAGAGAGTACAAATTTCACTGTTTCTATTTCTAGAAAATACAAATTTTACTGTTTATATTTCTAGAAAATACAAATTTTATTATTTGTGACCGGCCGCATCTAAATGAGTCGAAATGCGCGAGAATCAATAATGAGATAAAGACAAAATAAGTGAAAATATTGATTTTGAAAGAAATTGAGATTTTCACAAAAATGAGTCTATAAATATACTATCTATCGACACAGAAGATCAAAATAGCAATAAAACATTTTAAAACACCTGTATTTGAACGTTTTGTAAGAGTACCGTATTCTTAAATCTGTCCTATTTCTTAAAATTCTCGGCGAAATTAGTTATTTGTCTTTGCTCGCAGCGGGACGACCGGTCATTCCTCTTGCATAACAATTGGCATCGTTGTAAAGCGGGACATCTCTAGTTTATAAATATGATCAAAATATTGTCGATGAATTGATTTTGAACGGATACAATCAAGTTTTAAAACCCTCCAAAAATATAAATAAACTCCGCCTGTTGCCATGCTGTCCACACAACTCCTTTGCTGATTGGCCCAGACACCGCGTGCAAGACATTATCCATAAATATTTGGTTTTGGCGATAATGTTTTTGGGTACTTACATGCGATTCACTCTGATAAGTGGCAGAAAAAAAAAAAATTCTGATCGTAGAGATTGCCGTTGAGTGTTAATCGAAACCACGTGGCTGATGATGTAAATTAATCGACAAGCGGGTGTGTGTCATTGAGTAATACTATTACTAATCAACTGTCACGGGTCAATGATAAAGCCGTCGACAACTCATTAATTACTCCGAATAATTAATCCCAGTGGTGATTATTTGATATCTCATATCATCTTTAAAAAAATAATCTATATGCCTTAAATGGAAATAAACAAAATGGCCAATAATTTTCTTTTCGAAGCGAATTTTATTGATAGCTGAATTCCGTTTACCGTCGCTTCTTCATACGGCATGCAAAGTAAGGAATGCATCTGGGATATTATTGTTTAAAATTCTCTTATCACAATGGGTCGAAAAAATGAGAACGACCATCGAGCCGAAATATGATGATTCTCAGTTTGCCATTGAGTATCCTCTGAATAATGTTGATATTTACATCAAAGCCAAAATGCACGAAAGTGAACGTAAGCATTTCTTGACTATGAAATTGACATTTCTATAGGGACTCATATTTTGATAACGTCACGGTACCTGAAAATAATAATAGACCTATCGTACACGCAAAATCTTATTTTAATTCACGTGTTAAATGAACATGCTACAGCTGTGGCAGCTTCTTTGATGATTATCCAATCAACAATCTTAATCTCCTGACCACTAGTTGGCACTAAGGTGCTAATTAATTGATGAGATTAACTGAGTTAATCTCACTAAAGTTATATTATACACAACAGACTACTAATGTATAGATTGTTCTTCAGTATAACACTATCATGTGAATATTATGCCGTATGTGTTGTGCATGTTTCGTTACGAAAGGAGTGCATTTATTACGATTTTCGTCGTCAGCACCCTTGAAATCCTAAATAAAAAACATATTAAACGACAAAATATAGCAAATAAATTGCGGAAATAGTCGGATCAAATTTTTACTACGATTATCGTCTTCAGCACCCCTGAAAACCCATGGAAAGATATATTCAACGACAAAACAGCAGATAAATGGCCTGGTTGCTATGGGATTTTGTTTTGGAACATACCAAATCTTGGACTTGCTTTTTCTCAAAACTTACTTTCGTGAGTTGGGTAGCTTCTAATGGACACAGCTCAGTCAATTTTTGCCCAATTCAAACAAACTATACATCAAATTGAAGGCAATGAGTTGGAGAATGTGAAAATAACAATAACTCAGTTTTCAAAATTTCCTCATTGTGACTCAGTATGCTGTGGGGGGTCACATTTATATTTCTAGAAAAAACAAATTTCACTATTTATATTTCTAGAGAATACAAATTTTACTATTATATTTCTTGAGAGTACAAATTTCACTGTTTATATTTCTAGAAAATGCAAATTTCACTGTTTATATTTCTTTGAAATAAAAATTTCCACTGTTTATATTTCAGAAATGTTTGATCTAAAGACGCGTTATGATGAAAGTGATCATATGTTAGTTCGTGTTACAAGAGGTTTTACAGATAAAGTAGGACAAGTTTTTGGTGAGTGATGATATTATAGTAGTGATAAAACAAAATCCTATCACTCTCATCTATTTCTAAGCTATTTAATACCATTTTAGCTTTATGAATGTCAGCACTTGTTCTTTATATGCATGTGTTTAGAAGACTTATCTAATCATAAAATAAGTCATTGATCAACAAGGATATGATTATGAAATGACTTTATTAAAATACTGAATGACTTTATTAAAATACTGAAACTTGTATTGATTTTTTTCTACAGGTGGAATGTTTTCAAAAACAGAAATGTCTGAAGTTTTAACAGAAATCTGTAAAATAGATCCTTCATTTGAAAAAGAAAGATTTGTTAGAATGTGTGAAAAAGAAATTATTCCTAATGTTTTAGAGGTATGTCATTCATATGTGCCTATTTTGAAGAAAGCAAGGGTCTGTCTGTTGCACTTTTTGGGACACAATAACTCTGGTTCTAATTGACCTAGAATGTTCAAAGGTGGAGTGGGTGTTCATTAGGGGAATGCCTTGATCGAGTTCAGTGATGAGCATTAATGTTTTTTGCATGGCTAAGCAGAGCTAAGCAATTTCATTAATCGATGCTTTAGGACACGATAACTTTGATTCGAATGAAGGGAGAGTAATGAAACTTAGTGTATAGTTTCACCACATCAACTTAGTGTATAGTTTCACCACATCAACTTAGTGTATAGTTTCACCATATCAACTTAGTGTATAGTTACACTAGATAAATGTGCAATTACTTTATATGTGTTGTCTATTTATTTTGGGATTGCAGAGGGGACATCAGATTTTCTGTTTTTACTTGTGTCAGTTATTGTGAATTATTTGACTATTTTCAGGCCATTATTAGAGGTGATTTAGAAGTGTTAAAAGATTGGTGTCATGAAGCAGTGAGTAGTGTATTTTATTTTGTTACCCATAAATGCAGGATAATGGCATATCAGCAATTTATTTTTAACAGCAATACACAAATATCTAAAAAGAGATTAGTAATACTGAATTACTGAATGTAGAGTGAGGCTTATCTGTGTTTTAAGTTTTCGTTGCTCCCCAGATTTATACTCTGATTGGACATTGTCACAAGAATACAGAGCTTGAAGCAATATCTTCAACCATATTACTTTAAAATATTATTCTTTTTTACAGCCGTATAATACTCTAGCACATCCTATTAAAGCAGCTAAACAAGCTGGATATAGATTTGACTCCAAAATCTTGGATATCAGCAATGTTGATGTGAGTTTAAATCGTTATTTTACACACTGATTTATCTGTTCTATTTAACTTCACATATTTATAAATAAATAGATTGACAGTACTGATCAATCGATTTCAAATTTTGGATTGATTACTATATAAGGGGAGGTAACTGTGTTTTCATACCTTAACGTCATATTATCTCCCCTTAGACCACAAACTGAATCCATTACATCTTGTTATTATGCCATTGTTAACCTGTATTTATGTTTACTGTTGATTTAAATGTTATTTAAATTTGATAGGTTGTTGCTGGTAAAATAATGGATCAGGGTCCCGTTTTAATTATCAGTTTTAATTCACAACAAATCTTAGCAGTGCGAAATTCAAAGGGAGAGGTTAAAGAAGGAGATCCTGTAAGTAATTGTTTAATATTGCTAAACTTTTGACAAATGAGGAAGCTAGATAAATGGGGTTTAAAATCCACTTGACACAAACTAAGTCATCTCGGGACTAACATATAAAAGTTTATTTCAATAATTCACATGACGTAAGAGTCTTTTTAACTCTAAGAGGAAAAGAAAACCTTAGGGGTTGGGCAGGCAACCCTACTCCTGGTCATGTACAGGCTTTGGATAGAAACCACGCCACTTGTCTCAATGATAGGCCATATGATCTAAAGCGCATGAATGTGACGAAGTAGAAAATGTTCATTTTTGAACAAAAATTGGCTCATTCTTAATTATGCCTCTTTTGTGTTGCAGTACAGTATCCTGAATTTAGTACATAAATGTAGATAATACAAATATTGGGGTAGTTTGATTAAAAATTGTCGCTGGTATTTGTTGTATTGAAAACCATAATTTTTACGGAAAACAATCACTGGTTTGTTCACACAAAACACAACGTTTCAAGCACATATGGCCCCCTATTGTATCACTATATATATTACCCTTTAGTTTACTATCATCTGTGCTTGGAAATGATAAGAGAACACTTGTCCAAACATGGTGCCTAGCTACATGTGTACAAAACAGTGATTGTTTTCCACATAATTTTGTTGTTTTTTTTTTTATTGTGCTCAATCTCTGAATACCACTCGAGGATTATATTCTGGTATTGATTTGATTATTTCAGGATAAAATAATGAAGATATTATATGTATGGGCTTTATGTCGAGATCAGGAAGAATTAGATCCACAAGCTGCCTGGAAATTAATGGATATCTCCGCTAGTACATCAGAACAATGGTTATAACACAGTGAACTTATAGAAATACTTATCTAAATTTATGTTAATCCTTAAAAAGTGAACCACAAGGTTTTATAAATATGAACAATTTGCAAGGAGATACAGCGAGTGTCGTGACAAATAAATATTTTAGCAGCGAATGTGTCAGAACAATCTAATGCTGGTTTTTCATTGTCAAGCTGTTTGACTGAAGTCTATTACCCAAGTGTAACTTATGGATTTATGTGGAATTGCAGCAACAGAATATGTGTGCTTTGTACGACTCCAAACTCGGCAAGCATGTATCATGTGATTGTATTGTGTTTATAATCATGAGATATACTGGTTTGTATCCAGTATAAACTTCATATAACGGCTTACACTACATTGGCTTTTTCACAATCTTGCCAGTTATGTTTAGAAAATGTGTCAATTTGACAAACAGCTCAAAGCATAAGCTTGGCACTAAGATGTTCAAATAGGCCTTTGGTAGTTACAATATAACAGGGAACACATAGACAAATATAGGAAGTAAAACTATTAGTATTATATATACAATATTTTACTATATACGGGGGTGTTTTATTTTTTACTAACATAGTTGTCTTTGATAACCTAAGAACATTTTGAAATAATTATCTTCGAACAAGTGCATGGAGGACCGCACCACACAAACAATTACACAAGACAACCCCACAGACAAATCACACAGACAAATCAAACAATAAACGTATCAAATCAAGTGAATGGATCAGGAGTTCAGCTGTTAGCATCCACTGTGCTGTACAGTCCCGGGCCTGTAGAGATACAGGCTTCACTCAAAAAGAAAACAAACTAACAATAAGGGAAGCAATCCAGCAAAAAATGGGGAATATTTCCCAAATATATAGTGGTGTCAGTGATGCTACAAAAAACCTTAATGTCGGCACATTGGAGAAAAAAAACGGTTATAAAAAATGAAATAAAAAGCCAAGTAAAATTAAATAGCTTTAGATAGTAGTCAAAAATAGAGATCAAAACATATGCATGTGAATAAATGCAAGTATATTAAATATAAAAAGAGGACATGTCCTGTTTTATTATTGAACAGAGAAAACCTAGTGGAATTAGATATTTTGAGCATGCAGGGATTTTGATTATTTTCATCTTCAATATTTGCTGCCAAGTTTACTTTGTAAGAATAATTTATGAATTGATAATGTTAGATGTTGATAAATAGTTTGTATAAAGAACCATAGTCTTGAATATATATATATCACCTATATTGTAAATTATTTGTATAAAACTTGATTTTATATAGATAAATAATAGTGTATAAATTGTTAACTAAAAGTGCTATTGTGTCAAATAAATGAATATAGAACATATATGTATTGTTTTATTTTGGAAGGGTTTTAAAGTCTGAGTCATTTTAGTGCAATATAAATCCCTGGCAACCTACAATATTATGAAAGATGAACCTGTTCGTCCAATTCTGTTTAGTATATACAAAGATATGTTGAATTAAAATTTCATCAATCTATGCTGCTCGGTATGTAATAAGCTGCCATTTTGTTGTGGGCAAACAGAATTGACAGGTCTATTTTAAATCTTATTTAATCCAAGCCTGAAGGTTATCTAGGGTATTTTGATTTTGTTATCTTAATTTAAATGTTAACTAATCAATATGAGTACATATTTATGTGGATTAAGCAGTGAGAAATTTGATATTTTAGAGAATCAAGTAAAATTGTCCTTTTTAATGTTTATGGGCACAAGACAGACAATGCATTGCCCTTTTGTTGATTATGTGGTGTCTTTTTCATAAAAACTAATATCTCTTGATCTAATATTCATAATACCTGTACATGCATTTTAAGGGAATTTAGTGATTTCAGGTTTTTAGGATTAAAGCCCCAGTTTCATATAGAGAGAGAGAAATGGGGATTAAAGTCTACCCAACATAAACTGGGTCATTTTGGGACTAACATATGGTTCAATTTTATTTCAATAATTCCTTTATTCATAGTGGTCTTTAGCAGTGGGAGGACCCAGAGAAAACCCATGAGGTTGGACAGGTGACCTTACTCCTTGTCACATACAACCATGGAATCAAAACCATGCTAGTTGACTCAATGACAGACCTTATGATACAATGCGCACACAGTAACCATTCGGCCATCCAACCTCGCGCTCCGTTTCATATACATAACAGGATAAAATGAGAATGAAAATAAGTTGGGTGGTGTGGTTTACTCAGTAAAGTAAAAAAAATATACATAAATTCAGTCAAAATGATTCCTGTTGCTTTATCAACAAATTCATGTTTTACAGTACTCATATACGAGGGAACAAATTTTATTCAATACAAGATCAATAACATGAAAATTAGTTTTATTTTCCCTATGTCCCCTTTTCATCCTTTACTGTTTTTGAACTCTCATTGTCTGTGACTATTTTAGATAAAGTGTCATTTGTTTTAAGTTTTTGCACTGAAGAAGTCAAGCCATCATCTGTCAATGATTTGCTATCTTTTAGATGTAAATCCAAATCATCGTCATCACTGGGTTCATCATCATCATCCTCCTCATCATCATCATCATCTGTCACATTATCATTCTGAACCTTCTCTCTTCTTTTTGCCGTGAGTTCTCCTAAATTTTTACGCAAGAATGTTCCTAAAAAAAAAAAAAACATTTTTATATATATCGGTATAAAAATTATTGTGCAATCAAATCTGAATCGCCATCACCAATACATACCAGTAGATATAAAATTAAGCCAGGCAAACACTGATAAACGGAAAACAGGTTTGTGTTGCTGAGGTTCTGTGTCTATTATGTATTACATGGTTTTGTCATATACAACAAATAACACAACAACTCAGTAATAAAGAAAAATCACATGGTTTCAAATGATTACAGGACCAAGTTAACTTTAGGGTAGTTGCAAGTGTGAATGTCACATGATACTGGCCTTCTTCAACAAATTTTGTTTGTGTAAATGATAACAGAGAGAGAGAGAGAGAGAAATGGAGTTTAACATCCACTCGACACAAACTAGGTCATTTTGGGACTAACAAATGGTTCAATTTTATTACAATAATTCACTTGCTTGTGGGGGATTTTAGCAATAGGACATGGAGAAAACCCATGAGGTTGGACGGGCGACCCTACTCCTTGTCACATACAACCGGGGAATCGAAACCACTCCAGTTGACTAAATGACAGATCTTATGATACAGTGCGCACACTAATCATTCGGCCATCCAGTAAAAGATAAAATGTTTGATCATAGTTTAGATGAACAGATTTACATTGATACACTATTTTGGTTTCTGTTTATTTGAATCAATGTGCTATTTATAAAATTAACCCGGGGCTCATTAATTCAAATAAACCAAGTTTAAGCATTCTACCTCAATTAAAAGCAGAATTATTGCGTCCCAAAATTTGTGTCGGACAGATAAACGGACCAATCCATTATTCAATTGTGTTTAGCATTTATCAATAATAATGTTGGGTGTTCAAGCAGTTGATAATCCTTGATATTTTTCAGACAATATCTAAATTTTCTTTGTTTAATCCCCAATAAAATGATTATTTAACATTTAACTAAGAAATCAAAATATCAACGATAGATAATCTTCTGGCTTGGATTCAATCAAATTAAAAAAGGGATCCATCAAAGGATTTCAGCGATGATTATAGGTGGCAGTGGCTTGTTTTGAGCATATCATGTTTATAATCAAAGGCAGAGGATTCTGAATGTTGACAATTTTTAGTTCATCATAAATCCCTCAAAATAACAATCATCAAGACTTTAATGATCCAAAAGACTTACTTCTTTCTCTTTCAGACAACATACTTAATTCACTTTCTATTTCACTTTTCTGTGATTCTTGTTCTTGGCTGCCTAATTCTTCTGGTCTAAAGGGCAAATATAATTTTTAAATTACTTCCAATGTACAATAATTAAAGATTTACTTGTTTTAATCAACCTTTCTTCCATAAATAAAATGCCTAAATATATAAACTGTTTAAAGATAGATAACTGTGCGACAAAAAAATACTCCCACAGCAGCTAATTCGTCCAAGTAGTCCATAAAGCCTGAAATTGAGCAAAATCTATATACTGTTTCATATAATTGGTGTGCTGACAAGATTCTGTCAAAATCAAGGACAATAACTCTAAGTATGTATCAGAAATTGTTGTAAGGGTTATTAATGCTAATACTTCGAACAATGCATATAAATTTTAAGTGGATAATATGATAGCTTCAGCTGCTAAAGCATGCACAAGATTTTACAAAGTGAACAAGGGCTATAACTGTAACAGTAACTGTTGAAATTTAATAGAGTTCTTTGTTCCACAAATTTGAAGATAAATTATGTAAGATTTAAATAAAGAGCTGACCATTCTTGCTATAACAGCTCAAAAATAGATAATGTGAAATGAAAATATTGAAAATTTCATTCAAATTACTTCATTCTGAGCGAAGTTATCACTGTTTGTAGTTTTGACAATATGTGTGCATAGTGGAAACCAGGGTACTGGTATATCCAAGACTTAGCCTCGCTT